GTTTATCTTCAGGGATGGGAGGCATACGTGGAGAAAATACATTCTTACAAGCTGCGCTGAAACATGCAGGACCAGACAGATATTTAAATGTCCTAAACTATTTATGCTTTCAAAATCATGACCAGCACTTTGAATTGCACCCAACTGCAATTGAAGCCATTCAAAACTGTCATATTTTGGACCAACTGTAGCTTCTGAATGGTCTTCAAGAGTAATTTCATGCATAATATTAAAATAATCTGAGAAGTGACAAAAGTGTGGGTCATACTGGCCAAGTCAGCATGTTCCTCTAACAGTCAGTTTGTATACCAATCAAAGCTGAAAAAATACATCAAGGAACAAAATTAGATTGAGGAGCATACTGAACAGTGTTTATGCATAAAATCCTCTTTTCTTAAACAATATAATATGAAATATTGCAACAATTATATGCTGGACTTATTAGTAGACCTTCCGTTCTTTAATCAAAACTTTAAAAAATATTATTATTGATTCTGATTTCTTGTAAACATTTACAAATCAGTCTTATTTCTTCACTTATTTAAAAACTTTTTTTCTAATCTACAATTTACCTCATGCTTTTCAATCAAAAATTCATCAAAAATGTTAATATTTATATTGTCTTTTATTTTAGATAGTCCTGAAAAGGTATAATCATGTCCTGGAGAGCTGAAACAAAGAAAAAATATTTTAAATGAAATTAAGAATTATCCTTTTTCTACTTTAAACATACTCAAATTAAAAAAAAAAATTCAATATTCATTTTAATAGTAATGCTATTTAAACTATATACTGTGCTTAGACTAAAGATTCCATTTAAGCATGGGGATTCCAATTCCATCCATTAATCATTTAACTACTGCCTATACCTTTGTGCAATATTTTAGGACATGTTCAAGAATTCCTGCTGTATCTGCAGATGAAAAAGAATATGTGAATCCTCCCTACAACTTCATACATATGCTTCCATTTGTCCAGTGAAACTCTGAAATCAAATCTAGGTTTAGGAAATATGAAGTTTGATACATAAAATCTTGATTTAATGGACCATTCACATCTGTTAATTTTCAACTTGTCCTTTGTGTGAATTTAAATAATTTGCATAATTATAAAGTTGATTAAATGGCATCATTTGGAGTAAAATGTCAATTTAACAAACATATCCTTGATTCAATGACCCACTGATTTAATGGACTCTCAATTTAAAGGATTTTTTAAAGGCACGATTACATAATTAGGTAAATTATATAAACTCACGCAAATGAGACAAGTTTGGATTTATCCAGACATTCAGATATAAGAGACATACCCTTCCCTGAATATGTTAAAATGAGGTTTTACTGTTTTCCTCTGTTTTCTTCAGCAAACCCATAACATTCGGGCAATAAATTATAAGAAATCGTTACTTTGGGATCAACATCTATTGTATGTGGTCCATATACAGTACAACTGAGGTCCAATGTCTAAGAAAATGGAACAGATTGCAGTGCAAGAAGTATGTGGACACAGAAGACATGGAATCTTTACTGAGTAATTTAAATACCACATTCATTTTATCAAAACAGAAATTTTATTAACACTGAAATCTTAACTCACTTAAAATCAACTTGAAGTTCTTCATTCCAGCATGGATGAGAGCCATCTGCAGTACTAGTCTGATAAACTGTTTTCTGAAATATAACTTCTACAAAAGGATGCACAGTCACCTAAAACAAGAGATATGCAGCAAATGTTTCACCATATTAAAATGGAAGGGAAGACCAGTTATTAAATTTAAACAACCTCTTTCTCATCTCACTGTGGACAGAACATAATGCACTCCAGTTCTTACTTTAACAAATGCTATTTTTCTGTTTCTACTTATGCTAAAACGATACACAAAATACAGTAAGGTAGAGAAAGCATGCATAGTGTGGCTTCCAGTATTCTTTCCAACCTCTTAAAAATAGCTCACTCTCAGTGACGTCACTGGGAAGGAGAAGGGAGACGGGCTTACAATGAAGCCGTAATCAACATTCCAGGTCCGCCTCTCATATAGGGATGCACTAGGGGATTTTTTTTTCTCCATAACCCTGGGCCTAATCTGCCCATTTTTGAACTCAAATTTTCTTTTGCTGGCTTTCCCCACCATACTCACAAACTAATTCAGTCCTGTCCAGTTCTGTTTTCATAGAATTATTGTGATAACGGAAAGTCGAGACATAAAGAATCTTGAGCCCCTTTACCTAATTTCAACATTGCAGTGGGTTATACTGAATAACAAGATAGGGAAAGCATGCAAAGCATGGCTTCTGGAGTTCACATAATGCTCCAGTCTCCTATTCCCCCTACAACAATAACTCTTTGAGGGGGGCTAGACTGAGAGAGAGTGACTGGCCCAGACACCCAGCTAACTGGTCTTGATGCCTAAGGGAGGATGAGAACCACAGTCTCCAGTTATAATCCAGTCATGCCCCAAGTAGTGTATCACATCATCATATGAGTTCAAGAGGCCTTCCCCTTTTCACCTAAATTTATTCATTTCTGATTCATCAAATTCATTTTCACTTTGACAGTTTCAAGTTTTCCTTTGTTCATACTCTCACATTCGAATTATAAAATGAATAATTTCTCTTTTAATACAGGGATCAGTGCCCAGATTTTCTTGCTGCTTTGGTCTGGCCAGATCACAATCTCCAGATCTTCCGTGCTTTTACCAATAAATGATAATTATTAGTTGCAGTAATTTCATTTTTCATGCACCTCTAATTAGATGCAGTACAAAACAATGAAATAAATAAATAAATAAAATACAACATCAAAAATCAATAAAACAATTCACTAAAATCCAACTTAAAATGACAACTAAAAATTAACCTGAAAGGCCCATAACATTTAAACAATCATTAAAACCTGTATGCAAATAATAATATATTTATGATAAAATGGAAAAATTTAAACATACATAAAAATTTTTCATAAAAGTGCTTTGTAGATAGCCTAGGAGAGTGACACCCAAACTTGAGTAGATATACAAAATAAGGAAATTAGAAAAAAGATCACCCTAGTCTTGCTGTAAAAGCATGGAAATTACCACATTAAAAATACATTTTTAAGATCTCACTAATCATTTCATTAAAAGCTCACTATTTAATCCAGGTCCAACTGCAAATTTCATAACCACAAATTTTATTTTCTTCTATAGTCTTCTACATTTTGTATTTCCTTAAGACATGTAAAAGAATTGACTGCACATCTTCTTTTGAGATGGCCCTAATAAATACTACCCAATTATGGATTTTCCTTTATGTTCCTTGTTGTTATATTTTTGCTGGAGGCTTTCCAAAACCTGTGCCCCCATAATGAAAACATTAAAATCCATCTACTGAATTACATTCACATTAGCAGAATAATCCAAGATTCTGAAACAGAAAAGGGTTATGATAAATTAAAGGGTCTTTTGTTATTCAATCAAAGTAACATTTTTCAAGTAACTGCCGTATAGATGTATTATTGTTTTCTTCGAGGCTTATGTAAATGCTTATATGACATACATGAAAAATTGGAACTCCATTTTAAGAGCAAAAAATTCATAATTACCTCAGAGAGAAGGTCGGCAGTATAGGCTGAATTACCTAATAGAATGTGTCTGCCTCGGGACATACGATTTGATAAGTAAGATGGTGAATAAGCAACTGCAACCCTTAGGATATTAAACATGAATATTACATATGTTTCAGCCAGTCTTTCTCATTAAAATGCACCACAACATCCTGTCTATTTATACATAATAGTAGGATGACTGTTAATGTAAAGAAAATCTGAGTAAAAGTTGTAACTCAAATTTCCTGGTAGAAGGCAATAAGAGGCCATGATAAAATATGAGTTGGCATGACATCAGTTTTGGAAAAGTCTTATCAGAAGAGGCACCTCAGCAAACTTTTCATTTTGTTGCTAAAGATGGATATTGCTGATGGACTGCTTTTACTACTATTGATCAAATGTTATTTTTCCACTATAACTTGTTTCTCTCTTAATGCATTACAGCAATAAATCATATAGAAGTTGCAGGAAATACAGGAGAGTTATATAAATGCAAACTATTATCTAGATACTCCCTTTGTAAACATAAGGCAACTGAAAAATATGTCACATATTCATTCAGAACTCATTCAGAAGAAATTTTCATTTACTGTAATATGATTTACTTCCTTATGCTTCAGTTTCATATATTTTCTCATGATCAGAGGTTTCATAAGGATCATTATCCAGGGCTGGTAAATGCATTCATGTCTAAGTTTTCTGATATAAGTTTTTTTTCTAGTCTAGAAAAAAAAAAAAAGGAGTATTCTCCTAGACTGTGCAGACAGGGCTCCTGCCCAAACTACAGATGTTTTCTGATGAAGTTCTATACTAGCACAGAACCTATACGTGGGACAACACAAGGACTTTGAAGAATATTATTTAGAGGAGGCTGCTGGGTACAGTCAGACATATCCCCCAAAATAATGCAGAATACAGAAAAAAGGATTAAACATAAATACATTTGTTCATTCATTCATTCATTTCTCTTCAATGCAAGGCAACTGGCAACTGGACAGCAGTATAGTAGGTGCTATTCTTCTGTTTATATGTTTCTCATTTCAAAACAGCAGGAAACTGCTGAAATTAAGTTTCATACTCAGGGCTGTGGAGGTTGCAAAAAAGGGGTGTGAGGGCCATGTGTACTCTTGAGATGACCATTTGTGTACTACAGCTTTAGAGAAATTGGGTGATAATGAGTAATTCAGGGGAAGGTAAATGAGGAATCAGTTGAATAATATGGGGATGAGTAAAATATGGGGTAGTAGCACTGTGGGAAATGAAATGAAAAGTTTATCCAAGCCAATGGGCCCAAAATTGATAATTATTTGTGTTTGACTGCTTGGGAAATAATACTACTTCTGTTCATGTATATGTTTAGCATAATGGCATTCTGCTAAAATCAATGAGACTGATCCAGAGAAAACATCTTGAAATGTGCCCCAATGCCTATTATTCTTGCTATGTATTATTTAAAAATCTCTGACAGGAAACTCTGTTTGCATTATAGCACCATACTCTAGTAATTCCAGTTATTTCTAGAATAGTAAATGTGAAAGACAGCCATGCTTTTCAAGTGAAACATTACTTCAAGAAAATGGTTTTTTTTCTTTATTCAAAATCTACCAGACCTTTCATTTTACAAAAGAATGTGTTTAGATTTGGTGACTTTTATGCTACGATGAATAATTTCAGCAAACTTTTCTACATATCTGAACACTAAACTAATATATTAGTAGAACTTTTAATAAAAACATAACAAAAAGGTACTAACATGTTGAAAATCAGAGACCTATATAGCATATACTACGTTTTAAGAGCTAACATGATATTTTAGAATTGTAATATTTCATTTTCATTATATTTTCTTGTAAATATTTTTCCATTAGCATAAATAATGTGTCTGTCTCATTCTGTCTTTCACTCAGTGATATTTAAGTTACTTTAATAGCATTGTAGAATTTATTCTTAATAGTTATATTCTATGCTTACCTGAAAACTTCACCATGAAAAGAACTAAATTATAAAATCTCTACAATTTCTGCAAATTACCTTGTAGTGTGCATGACTAACTCTAGACAGATTATTTAAAAAATACCCTCTTTGCTTTCATTGAATGTTGCACCTACTTAGATGCTGGTGCCTTTCTTGCAGGAATATTATATGCTCTCAATATTCTGATAAGAAGTTTTACATCCCCATCCGAGACTGCCTGGGCTGCAACCTTTCGTCTCTCTTTCCTTTGTGGTTTCAAATGTCTTCTGCGTTCACCTAGCCTGAAAATTGCATTACTCAACTGGCTAGAATAAATGAAGAAATAAAGAAGTTACTTTGATCAGACTGAAACCCTAATAGTAGTAAACTTATTTATCATGTACCTATAACTAAATGCAGTACAGACATAGGATGAAAACAGCATCCTATGTTTAATATAACATATTAAAAACAATTGTAAATTAAACATCCTATGTTTAATATAACATATTAAAAACAAACAGCCTCTAGTCTAAAAGGCTCATGACATATAGTAAAATCAACCTATACAAACTAGTATGGTTAAGCACTAAAATTTCTTTTTCTTTTTTCTCTTTTCAGTTCTGTTAGTGCTGTTCAATAAAATTGCAATGGATAATAGATAATTCCAGCCCAGAGCCTTCTGGAGTGGGCGACCATAATACATTTACTAAATAAATCAATTTAGTTTATTAAATTGTGTTATGCAAAAAGTCATAGGAACTATGAGAAACCCCTCTCTAAAGCTCATTGACTGTTCAATGTTCCAGCAAGCAGCATCCATGGGGGAGGGGGGATGTCAAAAAAGTCAAGCTGGTGGTTGCAGCACTGTATTCAAAGTCCCACCCCTTTTGTACCTGTGTTGACTTCCCATGCACATATCAAGGGCTGGGGCTTCAATCACACTGCTGCAACTGTCTTCTTGACTTTTTTGACCCTCCCCCAGTGGATGCTGCTAGTTCCAGCTCATGTGGAAGCCCTTATGTGTACAGAAAGGTTTCCTAATACTGATTATTGCAATTTATCTGCTGATAATTGGCTGTTCATTGATGTCACAGTGCAAATTATACTGTAGCAGGGAATGGCGCTTACCACTTCTCAGATTTTGAAATAGATGCCCAAAAGTGTGTACAGAGATTAACTGGTTTTATAAAAATGTAGTCTTAAACAATTTTAGTTCATATATTTTTATCCTGCTTACCATGTAATCATTCTGAAGTATTTTGAAAATAAGACACCACAAAACATATCATTTGTGTTGTAAAACTATATTTGCTCCCGTGTTTTCAATAATAAGACATCTTTCAGACTTTTTTTTACCTTCCAGTTTCATGTAGTAAAAGTTATTTAAAGTTTTATATTGTTGCATATTAAGCATTTGTACCTGCCTCAGGCCAATTGAAAATAAGTAATTTACAATTATGTACCTCATTGATATAATTTCTTCATAGTCACTCACAAGATCTGATAAATTAAATTTATGCCTAATGGTCACAATTTGTTTTGCAACTTGATTTCTCATCTAAAAAAAAGTATAATACATAAATTCATTTTAAAATTAAATCAATATGAGTTTAAGCACAGAAACAAAATTTATTTAGATGTTAATGCTTTGGAAATGCCAACAGAAACCACCACAGTTAGAGGAAATTATCTCATACAGGAATTGCTTGAAGCAGCTAGTAGGTTGAGTAAACATTTTACAGCTATGTAAAAGGTGTACGATGCCTTTGGGGAATCAAACCACACATTAGATAAAGCATTAAGAATTTTCCTTCTCAGCTAGCAAACAGTGACAGAATATATACTGGGGCATTATGTGAACGGGTAGTCCTTGCCTTATGACTGTTCATTTAGTGACCATTCGAAGTTATGACAGCACTGAAAAAAGTGACTTATGACCAGTCCTCGCAGGGTCCCTGCAGTCACGTGATCAAAATTTGGGTGCTTGGCAACCAGCATGTATTTATGACAGTTGCAGCATCCTGGGGTCACATGATCACCATTTGCAACCTTTCCGGGGGCTTCCAACAAGCAAAATCAATGGGGAACCATGTGATTCACTTAACAACTGCATAATTGACTTAACAACCATATGATTTGCTTAATGACTGCCACAAAAAATGTCGTAAAATCAGGTATGGTCACGTGATGCCTTGCTTAACAACTACACTGCTTGACTAATTTTCCAGTCCCTTTTATGGTTGTAAGTTGAGGACTACCTGTATGGGAGTAGGAGGCTTTGATTCTGTTCCCTATTACAGTCCTTATTTGAAGGCAGTTGCTTAGATGGGGAACTTCTCCCCTTTTCTGTAGATTTTTATTTTACAATATCAACTATGAAGGCTCCAATGTGGATAGAGTAGGGTTGTTAAATTGCTTTGATCCTGCCTATTACTGAGTTCTAGGTTATCCATACTTACCATTTTTAAAGGGGAGAAGTTCCCCATCAAAGCAATTTAACAACCCTACTCTATCCACATTGGAGCCTTCATAGTTGATATTATAAAATAAAAATCTACAGAAGAGTAATTATAAAGCCTAATTTGAGATCTGCTTTGTGTCATGACTGAAATGTACTGCTGAATATGATGGCATCAGAGTTATTAATTTTCGTCAAGGTCTGACCAGATCCTATATAAGGATACAGATACAGATTTTTAGAACAAGAAAGTGTTTGCTTTCAGGAGTAGAGAGGTAATATGCATACAAAAAACCCTCTGAAATTTTATTTCATTATATTTGTTAGCCAAATCCCTCCCCTAAGTATTAAACTACATCAGAAATTAAACGAGTTTGTGAACAAGAATAATAATCTGCAAGTAGGATTTCGTTTAATTCACTCATTCATTCTTTCTGCTCTTAAAAGCAGATCTCAAATTAGGCTTTATATTTAAAACAAAAGTCACTAAAAATTAAATTAGTAAGGTAATTAGGAGCAATAATTTGCAACAATTTCCAGAACATTCCACCACTAGTCTGAATGTTACACAAAACAAAGCAAAGTAAGAAATAAAAACTAAAGCACAATATAATTTGTACTGAAATTTAGAGAATGACAGGAATGGAGGAATTGTTGTGTTGTGCCAGCATAGCTGAATTAATCTTAATGTGCAAGACAAATTGCTTGAGCTAAAGAAGTCAAACACCTTATTATGTGTAAGATATAATAGGCCTGTATCTAGCTCTAACTGGAACATGCAGTTCCATGTAATGTTTGTGATTATATTAAAATACCCAAGTTCAAGTGAGATTCTCCCCAGTAGCATATTTAACAGACAGTGTAACAGCATTTTGTATGGTTAAACAAGGTTTGTCCTTTTCCTACTTCTTTTTAATTTGTATATTTATGATACAAATTTTCAAAGCAGGAGAAAGAAATCTGTTGGTTTTAATTTATGCGGATGATACAATCTTTATTTCAGGTACTCAGGAATGTATGAGTAGAGTGTTATCATCTTTGACCCGATACTCTTTTAAATATTTTTTTAATAATTAACTATGAGAAGAGTAAATTTCTAGTGTTTGGACATAAGTGGAGAGATGAGAGCTTATTATTGAACAACTCTTTTTCTATCAATTACAATAGAGTCTCATTTAACCAACCTTATCCGACATTCCGTCTTATCCAACGCCCCTAAAAAAAACACAACACGCATAAATCAGCGATGAGAAAAGTGTGCCGCTTTTCTCCAAACGTGAGTGTATTCTTTCTTGTTGCTCCTGATGGTGCAGCGCCGCAATGCAAAAATCGATTGCAACAGGCGCAGCGGATGGGGTTTTTTTTTTTTTTTTTTCTGCACTCAATCGTTACTGTGTGTTATCTGACATTTTCGCTTATCCGATGTTCTGCCGGCCCGTTTATGTCGGATAAGTGAGACTCTACTGTACTTGGTTTATTTTTCTCAGCTTCACGGACTTGGCTTCTCCATTAGAAAGGACAGAAAGAAAAGACTGATCAGATATTTAATTCAAAAAAATTGAAACACTAATTTCATCTGCATAGTTCTTTAAAATCATT